CCCCCTCCATAACATTTGACACATTCTCATTTTAATCTCGTTTTTTTATATCTCCAGAAGTAAATATTTTTCAAGGTCATAAGGGCTTAGAAATAAAGGAAGACCAAAAAACACAAAGAGAAGGGAGGGAGCCAGAGAGGAAAGTGAAAAAAGATGGGGAGGACATGGAGAGAGCTGCATGTGGTAGTGACGGATAGAACGACGTGGCGTGAGTGCTTATGCTCCATTGGGGGTTAGAAAGGCAGAAGAAGAAGATGAACGAGTTCAACACGTTTATGATCCTAGAGTACTGTGATCAGATTTCCATGGTCGGCGATTACATATTTTTAAAGCCATTTTCGATGTTTTTGGATGAGGATATGAGAGTCACACAATAGAAAAGACATTCTTCTTCTTATATTTGTTTTCTGATTTACACCGACAGATAAGTTTTTGCGATAAACTTGACTGCTTTTAGGAGTTCCCTATTTTTTCCACACAATATGGAAAAGACATGCAATAAGCCCAAAGATAGCAGTAGGTAGGCTAGATATATCCTTCACCGTGGAGACAGCACACAATGTAAAGATGCATTTTTCAGTTTTGGTATGGGGTAAGGCAACCAGTCTCACACTAACGCGCTTTATCATCCAGTCAAAACATAAAGTACTTAGTCTTTTACTTCTTCGTTCCTCTTGAACCTCACTTGCAGTCGTGGCAACAGACCTAGCCATGCGGCCATAAATCCTAGGGCTTGAAGAAGACCCCCCCTCCCCCCGTTTCTTCCAGTTTTGTGGAGTCCATTTTAACTGTAAGCATTTGTATGTCAGTGAGCAATGGCTAATAAATTCAAATATACTTAAATATACCATTTAATAACAGTAGGGAATCAGATGTTGGCAGACACCAAATCCTTTCCTTTAACCAGCTTTACTGAGAGATAGCTCAGATCTTCTAGGATGTTTAACTGCTTGAGATTCCCTCTGTATACTGTATGTGTGTCAGGTCTTGTACAGAAATGAAAAAGAATTATGTTCTACAGTCAAGTCCATTTAAGTCGAACTTGGATAAGTTGAATTTCGGTTAAGTCGACATGACCAGCTTAGTCCCAGCAATTTTCTCTATTGTGTGTGTGCTGTCTGGATAAGTAGAAATCCTGATAAGTGGAAGCATTTTCTTAGGTCCCTGCGACTTCTACTTATCCAGACTTGACTGTATTATCTTCTGTAGACTGTACACAGTGAATTTGCTAAAACAAAGCGAATTCCACGCCACAGTTGGTATGCTGTGTTGTAGATTACAGCTAGGCTGCGATATCTGCGCCTTTTGATCACACGCATCTGACTTTAGCAAATTCCTAAATAGTCGCCTTTTATGACATGCTTGTAAAGGGGTAGTGGGTCTATATATTCCACACAGCACCCCCCCCCCCCCTTCCCTCAGACACAGGGCCACCTATCCTTAAACACAAGGTCTATAATGGTACACCTAACCCTAAATGTATTGGCCCCCAAACCCACACAGTTAAAGACTTTTATAATGTATTATGCCCCAAATTTATTTATGATTTCACACAAAAAAAGGACCTTGTTTAAACACACACAAAACACCACTCTGCAGTTGTCTTGCCAACAGGCTACCAGCCAGAAGCCATGCCAACATGGATAGGATCAACATTTTCCTCGAGGTTGTGTGTAGAACACAAGTGCATAGATAGGGAGACCATAACTATCTCTGTTGTTGGGATGGTATCGTTTCTTAGGTGGGCATAGAGTGTTTTCCATCTATCAGTACAGCGGAATATTTTTTGGTTGAGTACGGTCTGGGCCAACCTAAAACAATACTGTCCTGACGATGTGGTCACCCTGTGCATACAAGACAAGTCCCAGAACAAGACTAAATTCCAGAAGTGGATAAATGACCAGGATTTTCCCCAGGAGTGTACAGGTGGTCAACGCTAGGAAGTTTAAGAAAAAAAAAAACATGAAGCAGTGATTCCCAAATTGTGTGCCGCGGTGCCCCGGGGAGCCGCGACTTCTTCACCGGGGCGCTGCGAAATATTGTAAGCGCTTCATAATTAATTTAACAAAGACATGAATAGTCATACTTTTACTTAGGTTAGGGCCCCAGGAAGAATTTTAGTTGAAAAAAGGCGCTTAGACCAAGACAAGTATGGGAAACACCGACATGAAGTATATTTCAGCTTTACAACACAATACAATAAACAAAGAACGAGCCTTAATCAACAAGTTGAGTTGAGTCAAAAATTGACATCACAGCACTTGGCGCATTCCCCTGATGCTATGTCCTCATCTTCAGCAGCCAGCGCAGAGTTCCAATACTGATGTTCCTGGTCACAATGTGGTTATAAGTTCGTCTTGCCTTTCCTCTGAGTGTAGCGAGCCTACTAGACCCTCTGGTTACACCCAGATGCCTCATTCTCTCCAGGCCATAACAATCTTCTATCTTAACAAGTAATAAGAAACTAAACAACACAAAGAAGGAAAAGATGTTGAAGTAACAAACTTACTGCATTAAAATGTTATGTGAACATATTATCTGAGGCCTCAGAGATATGGTTTTACATACAAATCCTTAAAATTCATTAGACAGCCAAAAAAAAAAAAACCCCCAGGTGTTTTTAATCAGGTCTGGGCTCGAAGACAACTTATCAGAAACACCAAAAAGAGACCGTCCTCATCTTTTTGTCAGTCATGACAAAAAAGAAACGAACATCGTGTGACCACTGGAAAGATCCGGGCTCAATCTCCGGTAAGGGCTGGAATTTTTACTTGGACTTCTAGTAATTCCCCCTGGTCTCTGGGGAGGGAGTACAGACTCCCATGTGCATTGTTGCGCACGTAAAAAAGTCCCTTGACAGTTGAAAAAAAAAATAGCCTAGCGGCGCTGCCCGGGCAAAATTTGGAGTTTAAATCTACCTAAAGTATTTCAGGATCCTCGCATGTGCTACAGAGCCTGTGCACTGTGCTGAGCATCTTCTGACCCGGACTTGAGTTAGAAGAAAAACCGAGCACTTATGGGTTACTACCCATGTGCAATGATGTTGACAATCCGTAGTTCAAAGTTTATAAACTAACATAAATGCTCGTTAATGTTTTGACACAGTAACACTTTGTACATATAACATAACTCACAAACACACAGAATATACAAATATCATACTTTATTTATTATAGATAATACCGTCATGTAGCATTATGTCATTTAACTCTACCAGACCACTGTACTGCTTTTACGGTAATTTCCTAACCTGCCAACCACTGTACCTAATTTTCGGTACTTTGTGTAGTATGTGATAAAAACATATCACAAATTAAAAATAACCAACCAATCGTGATCAAACCTTGTGGTTAGTCATTGCGAATAGCTGCCCAAGTGTGTTTGGATTTACTTTGTGGTTTAACGTGAAAAAAATTCTAAAAATTCACAAAAAAAACGAGCGGCTGATGAACTAGGCACTTTGACAGGAAAGTGAAGTAGGTCTGAGCTTTTCACAGTCCAACAGGTGATCGATACTTTGGTTGATTCAGACTCTGAGTCAGGATTTCATTAAGACTATGTTCCCAGTTGAAGTGATGCAGTCAGTGACAGCTCGAGTGATAAGGAGAATTTTCAAAATTATACATTTAAAACTAGATTGATAGTAAGAGAAGGGGGCATGTCCCTCAGACAGCAACATTTGGTGCTCACTTTGTGAAACAAGGCTGATCCTGCTGGGTGGATTGGCGATAGATGAAAGATAAACTATTTTCTACAATGTCTCCAAGTTTCATCTTATTCTAGCCACTTGTTTGCATGTAACTAATATTTTTGTATATCATGTTGGTTTCTTCGTGTTAATGTCCAGGAGTTTAGGTATAGGGCCTCAGCTCTTGAAGGGTTAAGGCTTGCAGTCTAGTCATCCAGTCAGTTCTATCCTGTGCAACTCTCAATTTCATGGATGGAATTCAGTCCAGCAGCTTTGGCTTCTCTCATCAACATTCAGCTCAAGGGTTTCTCTTGCATGTCCTTGCTTCTCCATCTATTTGTTTCCAATTTCAGTGCTCATATAGTGATTCTTTGTCCATTTCTCCTCATAATGTGCCACCATATTGTCATTTCATTTGTCTTGTAACTGATGATACAAACAGTTGCCATGACCACGACCGACTCCAGCTGACGGGGGCTAAGGATGCGCTAACGCAGCGGCTCTCAAACAAGAAATAAACTATTTTTGACAGTGGCGAGGGAAGACAACTTAAATTTGAACTTTTAAAGTATCAACATGCCATGCCTTCTTTAATAATTTCACAACTTCAGCCGACTTTTCTTGATTATTGTCCCGGCACCCCTGGCATCTGCCCACAGCACACTATGGTGCCTCGGCACCCAGTTTGAGAGCCGCTTTGCGACAAGCCCGACCCGGTGACATCAACAGCACGGCTTGTCAGCTGAAGCCGATCATGCCCTTTCATGTCTCTTGTTTTCTCACCTGTCTTGAATTCAACCTATTTAATTTCATAAATTTCCTAAAACATTTGTGTTTAAATACATTTCAATTTTCATTCCCTGTATTTAGCAGTTCTCCAACTTTCACCTGCATTTTTAACTATTATTACGATTAACAGCCCAGGTTATTGCGTGTCATACAGAACATTTGACAAAATGACAAATCTAAAGGTTTTCTGCTTTTTTCGTTCTCTTCCTGTGGCTTAAAAATGAGAAGACCACAGGTTTCAATGTTTGTGGTGTGACACATTTAAACAATTTATAAATTCTCCTTCACTCTCTCCATTCTCCTCTGTTTGCATACTTGATGGGTCCACAGTTTTGTTGTAAGATCCTATTTTCAAAAGTTTGTAATAAGGCTCCCTCCCTCTGAGATGAATAACAGCCACTCACAGTAAAGATGAATAACAGCCAATCACAGTAAAGATGAATAACAGCCAGTCACAGCAGAGTTGAACAACATCCAATCATACACATTTCTTGGGACAGAAAGAGCTAAGAACCAGTCAGGATCATGAAGTCATGAACTCTGTCAGCCTTGCAACAAAAGCATCATATCCAGCCAACTGAAACTGCTTTGCTGCTTCTACTGGGTCCTTGGCCTCATAAATGCCACGCCCCACTATGATGATGTCCGATCCCCGGTTGGTGATGACCTCAGATGGAGTCAAATACTGCTGGCCTAGGGAATCCTGGCCTGCGGTCAACTGCACACCTGGACAAAAATAAAGTAACACTGGTAGATCTGTATCAAAGCAGGGGAACGGCAGCAGCTAGACTGCTTGCCCACCCAAAGCTCTTGAGTTTGAATACGTATCTTATCAGTTTTTAAAAAAAATATACTAACCCTCAAGATGTAAATATCAAGGAAGATTGGCTGGCAAAAAGCATCAAAGACTGGCTAGTAAACAGCATCTTGTCTCAGAAACTGAAATATTTTGGCCACATCAAGTGTCACGGTGGAATGGAATGAATAACAGCAGAGAGGATGGTACCAGGAAAGAGGGGCAGGGTTGACCAGCATGAAGATGGGCACATGATTGATACAGGTGACATCGCAGGTAGGAAAATGCACGAGGGAGGGGAAAGCTGGTGAACGACCAAGTTTTTATCAGGCAGACCATGATGACAGTGACGTTCTGCAAATGACCTGCTACATGATGATAAGCCTCCCAGGTCAACCCAGCAGAAATAGATACCAGTAATGTCCCAGGAAGTAAAGATGGCCTACCTAATGCTGACGACATAATCCATCAAGTGCCGATTGGTCTTCACAAATATGAACCTAGCATCATGTCCCTAATACACCACAGGCATTAAAAAAAAAAAAAGGGGTGCTTTTACTACGTATATGGCCCAAATGCTAATAGACTGACAACTGTCCATTACTTTTTTTTTAATACAAAGACGCACTGTGCCAGATCCTCTTATATCTCCACAGCAGTCAATTCTGAAATGTGATCCAAAAGATCAGGATAAACCTAAAGACAACTGACAAAACGCTGAAATTAGAGGTTGTGCAGACTCCTATTTTTTCAATTATTTTGAATTCATGCCATTTACTGCTCATCTGTTCTTATGTGAGAATCATTAAAATGGGGGGGGGGGGGGTTTCCGGAGCGAGGACTCCCGAAAGAAACCCTAAGACGAATGCAGATGAGAGCTGCTGGTCTGAATTCCATCCACGATATTGAACTGATCGCATAGGATATAAAAAAACAGAGGAATAGACTGTGAGTCCTATGTGACATATGTCTTTCCATGTCTTTAGTGGTTCTCAAACTTTCACTGGCATATGTTAAAATTAAACTAAATTAGAAGTGAAAATACATAATTTGGATTTTAAAATATATAACTTAGAATTCCATATTTTCTTCACGCTTTTAATAGCAACTGGGAGCCACCATGGTGTAGTAGCTAGATGCTCACATGTGGATCGGAAGGTTGTGGGTTTGGGCACTGACTGAGTAAGACATTTTTTAAAAAATGATCTAGGCTTCCACGTCAACCCAGCTTCGAGTAGGTACAAGGTACAGTATTGGGAAGTAAACGTGGCTAGCGTGATACTTACTACATCACATACCTATTGGTCTATACAATTTAGCTCTAGCCCTATATGCCCACTATGCCTGAAAATGTCAAAAAGGGTCCGTTACTTTTACTTACTTTAAAAGCAACTGTTAAGAATATAACTAAGTAACTTGTGCCTGGGATCACAAGATTACATCCCTGTGTGGGTTCCGGGGTCCTGTTATAGGGAAAACCAGAACAGACCCACTGCCGACCCAAAAGCATGTGGTAAGAGTCAACTAATTGGGAGCTTCCTTTAAAGTCGGAGTGCATCTGCCGGAGAGGCCCAGCAGTCGTCGGCATACAGATGCTTCAGATGTGTAAAACGGATGCACAAGCAACCCTCGGGTTCTGGAACAGGACTGCAGTCCAGGAGTGGTTAAACAACCAGAACTTTTCTCTAGAGTTTACAGCTGGTGAACGCGAAGAAGAAGAAGAAGATTACAATACAGAATTACATCATTATCAGGTTACATACATACAAGCACAAATCCTACCTGGGGTCATGTGAATGAATGTTGGATCAGACGTTAGATTGTTGACACTAATAAATCCAATAACAAAATCTTTGTTTGCCTCTGCCATCGACACGGTAGCTAAAAAATGTAACAATAAAATTATATGCTAATATATTCATGAAAAATCATAATATATAGTCCATACCTATCAGTGTCATGGTAATTTTGATCACAGGAATGTGGGAAAGTTAAGGCCGTTGTGATCTTAATAAGGTGTTACTCCGTACCTTTCCTCAGGCGCCAGCTTTCTCTAGGCTAGTTCTACGTATCCTCGTGCAAGACTAATGCCATATGTCCCCGTTGTGCGCCATGGATAATGGCTCAAATGAGCATAAACTGAGCTGGAAGGGATTTTGGTAGTTAGTGGTACCCAGAGATGCAGTGCTCAGAAATCCTCTAGCTCTTATCAGTGCACCCCCCAACGCATGGGTGAAAAACATCTATCAAAACTCATTTGGAACATGAGTAAAACCCGCTAGCCAAATATACTGCTAAACGACAACCCTCATTTAAAATGTGTCGAGTAAAAGAACTACTCAGCTGCTGAAACTCAGCCCTCGACTAAGAGATCTGCCGGCAGCTTAGATGAGCAACACCTCCTGCAGGCAGTATCTCACAGTACAGTCCTGTCTACGTACATCTTTTATCAACCCTGAATGTCACCATCACCGCACTGAGGTATAAAATGACAGTTTGAAACTGTCAGTCAGCTGATTTGGCTCAAATGTCCATCAGATACATGTCCTATGCAAAGTCTTAAATGTCCGATAGTCAAAAGCTCTATTGTTTGGCAGAAAGGTTCAGATGTCCGCTACTCATGGCCCCACTCGCCAGAGTGTCGGGACCAAATAGGAGAAGCCATGTCTGATGCATGCTTTTTCCATATTGTCGAGCTAAGTGTCTAGATCCAACAACGTTAAAGGTGTCTAATGTGCTGAAGAAGAGTGTACCTATATGTGTGTTCATCGAAGTCCAGAGCTTGTGGTCTGCACCCTGATGATCTCTGGAGGGTGCAGCCCATGACGAGTGGGAAGCTCAACAAACGGATGTGAGCTTAAGGAGTCATGTGCAGAATATAACAATTCCTTGGGTGAGCCCAGGACCAGAGCATTATGTGATGGCTCTGCATTTATGGAAGCCTCCTTGGATGACAGGGAATGCCCATGATTTGCCTCCGCCTTCCCTTGAGGGCAGAACAGTCTACACATGGTTACCCTGGGTGGGTTCTCCAGGAGCACAAGCTGTAGATAAGGGGATAAAAGTAAAGCTATTTACACCAGGAGAGACGGCTTAATAGCTTTCACATGCTATGCCTACGAAGAATACTTGGTATCAAGTGGCAGGACAAAATCACAAACACTGAGGTACTGGAAAGAGCAGGTACTACAACAGTCTTTTCCATGCTCAGTCTATGAAGGCTCAGGTGGCTGGGTCACACCTGGAGAATGGAAGATGGTGAATTAAAGACAGGAAGAAGATGTTGAGGCCGACCTCTACTACATTATAAAGATGTGTGCTTCCCTCGAAGTCGGAGTACATCTGCCCGTGAGGCAGGGAACAGAAAAACGGTTGTACACGCAAAACTCAGGTAAAAGCCAAAAGTCCAAGCGGACGATTAACCCTGATCTTCCGTCGGAATTCACAGCCGGTGAACGAAGAAGAAGAAGAAGATGTGTGCAAGCGGGACCTGAATGATACAGGTATTGAGGCATACTCATGGGAACAAAATGCCATGGACTGTGTTGTGTGGAAAGGGCATTCCAGGAAGGGAATGAGACTGAAGGAAGAAATGATTGCAGAAAGGATGAGAGATGAGCGTCTGAAAAAAAAATGGATTAAACACAAATGTTGTTAACAATGGTCCTGAAATCCCATGCTATCATCGTGGAAGACTTTTCTTGACACGGGCGGGTCTTGCTAGTCACACTCGCCATCGCCATGGGCTGTGAGTCTCATGCCTCCTTATAGCGCAATATAACACTATCGTCTGGAAAGACGGAAAGGTGCCAATGATGATGAGTTTTGGCCCGTTCTATTCTGCTCTTTATCCTCTTTATCTTCCATTGGATGTTATCCATGTGCCAAGATACTGAAATTTCTGTACTTTTCCTGAAATAATGCCTTTGACTTTTATACACTTAGGGAATATTCTTTTCTTTGATATCACCATTAGTTCCGTTTTATCATTATTCAAGGTGAGGCTCATTTTATCACTTTCTACCACCTCCATATCCATCCATGTAGTTCTGGCTTGTCGCTATCAAGACGATGTCATCAGCATAACATAAACTGTTTATGTTATAACCACCAACGAAAATTCCGGGCATATCCATGACAGATCTCATTATATATAATATAAGTAGTCTTACCTGTAGTGTAATCCCCTGTGGCCAGGTTTCCAGCAGAACTCATCTCTGCAATCAGCAGACAACCACAACCTTTAGAAGCCCCAACCTGGCAAATAGGAAATTTGTCAGTTATTTTTTCCCCCGTACATTGGTCTTTAGTCATAGCAGATGATGTTTGCAAACCTAGGGACTGACAGTAGTCAGCGACATTACACTGATCTCTCATATAAAATATGGTCATTAGCATGGCTTGATACTCAAAAGTTCACACATGTATGCATTCTTAGTGACCATGAATAAGCTTAAAATAATTGAAGCTGGATTTATCAGGCAAGAATGGACTGCAACACTCAGCACCTCACGAATAGCTGCCCTAACCTTTATTTTCGTGCCAGGTCATGCAGGTGTTCAAGGGAACGAGTGTGCAGACTATCTTGCTGACGCTGCGGTTGCTATGGCTGGCCCAGGACTGGACAGAAGTGATGTTATCAATGCTATGCGCTGCACTTACCGTACCGGGCAGCACGCTAAAGGACATGACACTGTATCCCTGTCTAGACTGATGGACATGGGGGTGCAGCCTGGGGCTGCAAGAAATGAATATTTCACGAAGGGGACAAAACGTTTCATTAACTAACACAGAGCAGGCGTCATCAGTCGTTTTACACTTGTGGAGCTTTTGAGAAGGAGATTGGAACACCTATGGATCTGTCCGGAGTGCTGTGTTGATAATAATCCTTTCACATCACTAATCTCATATAAATATTTTAAAACATTTTTCTCCCATACAGACACAAACATAAAGCTCTTCCCATATAAATAAACAATATCTACTATCTTTATCCCTATTTATGTTATCAGAGCCGAACATAGACAATGAATAGGGCACTAGAATAGAAAATAACTTCATTTGAAATGCCCCGTCTCCGCAAGGTCACCAACAACACTATCTGAGACAGGGTTACGAATACCAGCATTAGAGAGAAAGTTGGAATAAGAACATGTCTGGATTATATTGACAGACAAAGAATGAAATGGTTCAGCCATCTAGTGAGAATGCAGCCAGACCAGACAGCATATGAGACTTTTTACAGTAGAACATCTGGGAGGAAGGCGAGAGGAGGACCAAGAAAGGGATGGATAAATGATGTAGATCAAACCTGCAACAAGTTGAACAAATCCATCACTCAAGCCACCTGAGAAGCGCAAGACAACCACAACAATGGGTTACAAAGTGGAAACAAAAAGAAAACAAAAGAAGAAGAAAAGAAGATTATCCCACAAACCAATTTTTTTAAAAAGTTTTATTCACACACAAACACACACACAAATTAATTTATTAACATACAACAACCTTACTGTCTTCGCGTCCCAACACACATAGGCAACAAATAACAAAGTTTAGAGACAAGACAAGAACCTCTCTTAAGCCATGAACCACTCCTGGACCCGGGACCCCGTGAGCGTTTATGATATGAGCCCAGCTGCTGATGTTGTACATGCCTCCACCAAACTGGTGTAAAACTGTGTTGCCGATGTCTGCAAACTTCCTGTAGATGTCAGTGTAAATATATATGTGTAAAATGTATGTTTAGTTTTCAACACAAGTCAATGTAAAATTTGTCACATATTTGTAAAAATGTGAATCTAAAACCTACCGTATGTCTAAAACTTTCAGTGTAAACAATTTATAGTATGTCTATAAACTGAAGTGTAAAATTAACTGTGTCTTTAACTTTTTGTGTCAAATCTATTGTATGTCTACAAGTTTCAGTGTAAAATTTATTGTGTGACATAGGTTTAAGTGTAAAATTTATTGTATGACTTAAAGGTTTCAGTGTAAAAATTTACTATCTGTCTACAAGTCTCAGTGTAAAATTAATTGTTTGTCTAAAAGTTTCAGTGTCAAATATATTGTATGTACATACATTTTGATGTAAAAATCTACTGTATGTCTATTATTTCAGCTAAAAGCTAATGTATGCCTTTAAGTTTCAAAGTAAAATCTATTATATGTGTACTATTTCAGCTAAAATCTATTGTATGCCTACAAGCTTCAATGTAAAATATATTGTATGTGCAAAAGTTTCAATGTAAAATCTATTGTATGTCTACTATTTCAGCTAAAATCTATTGCAGGCCTACAAGCTTCAATGTAAAATCTATTATATGTCTATTATTTTCGGGCCTCCTAAACACTGCGCAGGAGCACACAGAACCAATGGTATTGAACTTAGCTTTTCAAGAACAAGTCCTGCAGAAATGGTGATATATTGGCATTTACAAGGTTCTGTCACAACCGGAAGTGACAAGATTGAGCCTTCTCAGGAAGACATATTTAAAGATACCCAGCCCAAGAGAAATGATAAGGTTTTCAACAACGGATCAACATCATGGCACACGGATGTAACCCATAAGTGCTGCGTTCTTCCTCTAACTCAAGAAGAAGCTCAGCACCGTGCACATTCTCTGTAGCACCGGTGAGGATCCTGAAATACTTTGGGTAGATTTTAACTCCAAATTTTGCCAGGGCAGGACCGTTGGGCTACTTTTTTTTATTTCTAACTGCCAAGGGATTTTTTTTAACCTGTGCAACAATCCACACAGGCGTCTATCTCACTTTCCAGAGACTACGTACGGGGAATGACTAAATACAAGACCACATGAAAAAAATCCCAGCCCGTAACCGAGATTGAACCCGGAACCTCTAGCACTCGAGGAGGACACCATGCCCCGAGACCACGCAGCCCCCTAAGAGAACTAATGAAGTGCAAGGGGTCTTGCAGACTTGACCTGGTTCTCCTCAGGAAACAAATGTCATCCTCTTTATCTTATGACTGTTGACACCAGCGATGTTACAGAGCAGACGTAAAATTGTGAGCAAGGAACTTGAAAGGTTACCTGTCTTCAAAGATTAAAAAGTTGTGTCTTGCTGCCAGCTGGGACAGCTTGGTCACAGTTTCCTGGGTGAAATCCTCTAGGATATCAATGTGGGTCTTCACAATACAAACATGTGGGCCGACTTTGTCAACCAGCTGCAGAAGAAAATCAAAACCAGGAAAAAATTTAATTAAAATAAATAAAAAACATGAATGCAGCTAAATGAAATTATAAACACTTTTTTTTTTAATTAAAAAAAAAAAAAATTGAAACAACTTTGAAAAATTAACATTCTTCTTTTGTCGTCTCACTCATACCTGCTTGTAGCCCAGTGGTATTCTCTATTTGTCTTGTGCTTCTCGGGTGGCTTGAGTGATGAATTTGTTCATCTTTTTGCAGGTTTGATCTACACAATTTATCCATATTTTTCTTGGTCTTCCTCTTGCCCTTCTCCCAGATGTTCTACTGTAAAAAGTCTCATATGTAGACTTGTCAGGCTGCATTCTCACTAGATGGCTGAGCCGTTTCATTCTTCGTTTGTCAATATAATTCAGACATGCTGGTGTTTGTAACACAGTTTCATCTTGTGTTGTTAGTGACCTTGCGGAGACAGCGCATTTTACAAAATGTACCTTAACTAACCTTAAAATTAAAAAAAATTAAACATGAACTAAAACATCTTCATCATCAGGTGCCTTGCTGACAGGCGTGGGCGATCATGCCTCTCCACAATCTGCCATCTCCTGCAGCATGTATCAGTTCGTCTGCTGACAAACCTCAATGCCATGCAACAAGACAGTCAAGAATCTTCTCTCGCTGTCTTCCTCTAACCCTACTTCGACAGATCTTTCCAGTGGTCACAACATGTTCCATTTTCCCTCTTTTCATAAATTGGCCGAAAAATGATGACAGTCTCCTGATGTTTATGATTAGTTGTCTTCGGGCTCCCGCTTTCTTTAAAACCTCTTGGTTGCTCTTTTTGGCTGTCCAAGGTAAAAACACCTTACAGAAAAAAACAACTAGTTGAATAAAACCTTTACTATAAACTAAAGAAACATTAACAAAATATTTTCAAAACAAAACAAAAAAATAGAAAAGAGAAACACAAACACACACACAAAAAGAAACAACATAAAAAAAAACAGGCCATAGGGTCAATTAACAAGCTAAAGGTAATTGAACTGAAGTTGCTTGGAGTTACCCTAACACCTGAGAAAGCCAGCTTTCCGACTTTTAAGGGTTTTTGATGACCCGTCTTTGGGCAGGCCTCACTACACCAATATAACAGCTTTGAAACCGGTACAACTACAGTGGGCAGACATGGTGAGTCTGATTATATTTACAATTACAATTTACATATGTTCTGAGGTATTTTTTTTTTTGTTTGTGTGGTGATATAATCTTTTTTTTTTTTATCACGGTGATATCATGTCAGAAAGAGAGTACTAACATGTTACATGGAATGGCAGCAACTCTTGGAATGCCAGGAAACAAATTAATAAAAATTTTGAAGCAACAGAGATGTGGTTTCTGAGACGAATGTTACAATGAATACCTTAGATGGCCAGAGTAACTAACAATGATTGTTTGAAAGAAGCTAATGAAATCTTCACATACAACAATAAGGAGACAAACACTGTTTTTTGGTCAGGTATTGAGAAGAGAAGCATTGGAAACATCTTCACAACTGGATAGATCAGTGGAAAAAGGAGCAGAGGCAGACCACAAGAGATAACGCTGGATGGGCTGAAAATGATGGCATAGAGGGATATCATCAAGATAGCTGTTCCAGGCAACCAGGGATTGTGATCTGTGGAGATGCATGAGCGCCTATGCCAGTTGGCAGGGCACATGATAATGATGATGATGCTATATCATAATAAACTTACGATGAGCACTTTCTTCATCTTCTTCTCCTTCACATTCGCCAGCTGTAAACTCTGGCAGAAAGTTCTGGTTATTCACCCACCTCTGGACTTTAGACTTGTCCCAGAACCTAAGTGTTGCATGCACATCCGTTTTACAGATCTTACTTATCTGTATGCAGACAGTTGGTTCCTTGCCTCTCAGCTAGATGCAATCGGACTTCGAAGGAAACCCCCAATTAGTCGACTCTTATATGCTTGCTGGGGAGGCAGTGGGTCTATTCTTGTTTTCTCTGGTGAATGTGAGGAAGAAGAAGAAGAATTGCTTGCTCTCCAGTCCAGTGGTCATATGTTCTGCCACTGGCCCAGCCCAACAGCCCTTCGAAGGGTGAACTCAGAAGACAAGGAAGAACTAGCTATACAAAGAACTCTCACTTGCCTGCAACAGCTCTTGTGAAGTGGTTACGTCTGCTGACAAGGCCAAGTTGCTCCGCTTCTCCCCCATGATTTCCAGCAGTCGACGTGTGACTGAGTTCGTGCACAGTTTTGCTCTTTCTTCGTAATCATACACCTTTAGAGAAAAATGGGGCAAAATAATATTCAGTGCATAACCAGTTTATGAGAAGAGCTGTGCATGCGTGCGTGTGTGCCTGACTCTGTGTTTACAAATGTTTGCCTGAGTGTCTCTGGGTCTGCATGTGTATCTGTGTGGCTACATGTGTATCTCTGTGGCTACATGTGTATCTCTGTGGCTACATGTGTATCTCTGTGGCTACATGTGTATCTGTGTATGTGCCTGTGTCTCATATGGTGCTAGACCTAGAAAAGGGAGGAGACAAACAGCATTAAGGTGGACAAAAGATATCAAGGACACCAGTGGCATGAAAGTGGATCGAATGGCTTTTCCATGTGCCATGATGAGGGTGAGGTTCTGTAAAGGACCTACATCAAGACGACAATGTTTCCAGTCGATATGGCAAATAGGTTTACTGTTTTTAGTTGTGGCAAGTTTTTGCTTTTGGAAATAGCTGTTGCACCTTCCTCCATATATAGACTGAAAGGCAACAGTTCTGTCGCCCACCTACCAGGTACTGCGATTATCTGCGGACATGAAATCCATAGGTTAACTACAGGACCACACAAACACCTGAGCCCATTCTGCAGACCTGCCCACTCTACATACAACTTGGAAAAGACACCTGGCCCCAGAGATTAACTATACAAATCTGACACTGTGCAGATTTGAATGCAGGATCTTCTGGCCAGCATCTAACCACTATGTTACAACATTACATGCCACTCCCTATGAGGGTTCCGGGACCCATTTTGGGGGGAAAAGAATAGACCCACTGCTTCCTAACATCACAAATGTCCGCTAACTAGGGTTGTTTCCTTCAAAGTCGGAGTGCATCTGCCTGAGAGGCGATGAACCAGCAATACACATACAAATAAGCCAGATCTGTAAAACAATATGAACGTAAAACTCCAGTTCCGGAACAAGACCAAAATCCAGAAGTGGGTGAACAGCCAGAACCTTTCGCCTGAGTTTACAGCCAATGAATGCTAAGAAGTAACCTAAATCAACCACAGAAAATGAAATACCTCAATCAACAGGAAGTATAAAAGTCTAGTCTGTAATACCTTTCAGCCCAACATAGCCAATTTTAACAAATCTCTTTACCAAGATGGACACACACGGATATGCACTCACACGCACGAATGAATTTAAACATGCTCACTTACATATACACTCACACACAAGTCACCTTTTACGACATACTTGCTGGGGAAGGAAGGGGGCCCTGAGTCTTAAATGCTTCTTGAGAAGGTGAACCCAAACAAACTGATGTCTGTCACTAAATCACACATTTATTTCAACAACCCTTCAAAGAAACGCAAACGAATATAATACCTACCTTTGGTTTCAACGAGCAAACTGTCTGATCGGGCTGGAACCTATTATGTTCAATGTAACAGGCCACTTTGTCTACCGTTTGAGAGTCCAACTTCCCAGCTCCTTTCAAAATTGTTAGAATGTCAGTCATAGTAAAGACACTGAAAGGTCAGAAGAAATTAAAAAGATGATCATGACAAACAAAACTACAGGATGAAGATTAACTCTGGTGTTTTGCTAGAAAAAAAAATCATCATGCTCAAGGGGTGCTTTAGGTTATAATTGTGACCAGGTTATGTGCGCCATATAAAATGTCTTAGCACTGCACGCCACCAAGAGCGCTGAAAAGGACTCCTGCAGTGCTGATGCGATCAAAGGAGACAGACCCAAAAACTGTCCCCACAGGCGATGAAGTCGTCTACCAGCGAGCCAATGACTGACCCGGTCGCAGATGAAGATCAACACTTTTGAGTCCCAGAGAGTTTACCATTAGAGGCCCAAAAGGCAGCAATGCAGTTTTGAAATTTTACAGTGTAAAATATACTATACTTATTCAACTGCCATGCAGCATACACATATTTTCATCAAAGTGACCAGGAATTTGTTAAGGAATTTTATTAGAATACTGCAAGCATAACTAAATTGTCTTAGTAGTTAAATATAGAATCACTACTGTAGAGCTTTGGGGAGAACAAAACAAGTTCCATTGGACCAAGAGGTGAAGAAAAAACCTGGCGTTGGATAGGACACACGTTGAGAAAACATTAGAACAATATAACTAGAATATTTTTCAGCTGGAACTCACAGGGGCATAGAAATAAAGGAAGACCAAAAACATAGAGAAGAGAGCAAGAGAATGAAGTTAAAAAGATGGGGAGGACATGGGGGAGAGCTGCATGCAATAGTGAAGGATAGAACGACTTGACATGAGCTGGTTGAGGGCCTATGCTCCATTGGGGGATAGAAAGGCAGAAGAAGACGAAGTTAAATTTACATAGACAGACAAGAAGTTTACAGAAATTAGTAATATTAAAATATATCCAAAATGAATCACAAATGAACATGAACCACTCAGTAATGCAAACATAAAATATAAACACAATCTGTACATTTTATTTTATTCCATACACACTTTTGGAGCACCATTATAGCAACTGTTATTTCGTGAAGAGAAATGACTTCCCAAAACAATAAGTACCTTAACACAAAACGAAGTTCATTTAACACTAAATTTCCCCTAATTTTGCAGCTATGTTCCTAAATAATAGGCGCAATAGCACTAGAACTGACACGAAGAAAATCATATTTTTACTAAAATTTATTCTCTTTGTAAAAGCTGACTTTGTTATCGTTGAACGCTCTGCATGAGTTACACATTTGAGCTATCCCACACCAAAGTCTGACTCTATAAATGACTGAAACAAGTCTACTTTGCAACTTTCTCCATCTAACTTTGGACAAATCTGATAAACACATGTTTTATTTCTTCTTTTTCGGCTTTCGTTCGTCTGAAATAAATTGTCTATATCCACAATTTTGATTCCCCCTATAAATTTCACTGTCGATTTTAGTTCATTCAGTGGTCTGCTGTTGTTCTTTCTGGCTAAAAAGTTTGCTTCAAAGTATAAAATTCGGTACAGTCCTGGAGTACATGTTCTGCTGTCTGCGGCACCTTTCCACAGGTGGTGCACATGGCTAATTCGCCTATCCTGAATTCTGTGTACATATGGTTGCATAATCGGTTGTTCCCATTTTTAAGGTGAAGGACAATGACTTTTTCTGATCTTTCCATAGCATAGGAGACATCATGTGCTGGAGGCTAGTGGTTTCCTGATCGATTTAATTATCCCTTTCTTTTGGTGGTATGTAACTGGTACATCCGGCTGCTCTTTTGTCGCACCTTCTACTGCTAATTGATCATCTCTCTCATTTTCAGGCACTCCACAAAGGGACAGTATCCACTGCACTGTGATACTACGCTGACATCCGAGCTTTGTCAGCAGTGTTTGCAATTCTAGTGGTTCCCCAGACTGGAGTGCTTCAGTACTGATTTTGCATCTGTCAGCTTTACAATAGACTAAGAGTATTTAGCAATTTTTCTGTTGCTATCTTGATTGCCTGGGTTTCTGTATTATAGTAATGGCAGTACTTCTCGGTTGGTACACTGGACTTATCCCTAGTACCATCTGGGAATTCTATGTACAATCCCGCACCACCATTTCTAACTACATTTTGTGCAGACCCATCTGTATAGACTCAAACGCATTGTTCTTGTGGGTATTCTTCCTCAATACAGCTGGGAGTGGCCGTTCAGCATTGTATACTGTCTTGCTCTTTCTTGTCAGATATTCCTTTCACACTTCTTCAGATTTGTACTACACATGTTCTATTTAAATCTGAGGCTACTAAAGCCATAAATTATGTTGGCATTCTTGTAGAAGACTTCTCTGCAGCCATTTTGTTTTCAAACAAACAGTAACTCGAAACATATTATATTTTAGGCTTTTAACCACGTTTCCAAATAAACCTAATGGTCAACACGTGTGTTATTAAACACTAAGAACCAAGGAAAACAGTTTTAACTGTCAAGTTTGAGTTTTTATACTGGTCAGTGGTGAATTAAAGAGCTGTACGCGTCACGTGCCGGTTGGGCCGCAGGGCAGTTACCAAATAGCACGTGCCATGTTCCTTGGGACCCAGAGAGTTAGAAATGTAATAAATATGTTGAACAGACTATCCCTCACCTTGATAATAAATAAGATAAGAAAAATGATAATAAAAAAGCCACCTGTGAAGCGTGATTCCCTCTTGCTGAAGCTTTTGACGACCACCTTGCTCCCGGTCAAGTAACACAACTGCATCTGTTACCAGCACCCCAACGGACTTCAGGGCCTAGTCACAAATGTAATAACACAAAACACATAAGAGAGAGAGAGAGAGAGAGAGACATACACACACACACAGACACACATACACACGCACACATAAATGCATTAAAATGCTATGGTTAAGCATCAGCAAGGAAATTAAGTTCACCATTCTGAAGGCATGCATCTTCCCATTAACAACATACAGATGTGAACTGTGGTTTATCTCAGCCACTAAAGAAGGAAACAGGAGCTTTTGAGATAACATTCTATAGAAAGATTCTCAGAATACCTCGAAACAAAGAGAAAAGAAATAATGACATCCAATAAGATCTGAAAATCAATAGCATCCTGTCTTGTAAACTACAATATTTTGGCCATATCAAGGGTCATGACAGACTGGAAACAGAAGGCATGGTGCCTGGAGACAAGGCTAGGAAAGATAGGCATAGATTATGAGTGACATCTTATGTAGAAACCTGCAGGAGGCAGGAGACTGCCAAAAGTCCAAGTTATTTTTAGACATGCTGTGATGATAGTGATGTTCTGCTAAGGATCTAATACAGCATATCACAAATATAATTACACAGCACATTTAATCACCTTCTTTTGAATGTGACATATGACACATATCAATTACACATTTGCATTCATACTCACACATACAAAACTAATGAGAAAAAATATCAAGTGGTTGCTCTGAGTAAGACAGACTCTTTTCCTCTAGATAAAGGTCTAGGGTTGAAATCCGCATTTCCCTATGTTGTTTCCGGAGCATCATTTGGGGGAAAAGGGGGGGGGGGGGGGGGGGGTGGGGGGGGGGGAGGAATAGACACACTGACTCCTAACAAGCATGCCATAAAACTCAACTAATCAGGAGTGTGTCCTTTGAGGTCAGAGTGCATCTACATTTAATGCTGAATTAATAATCTACATCACAGCACTCGGGTCACTCCCATAAGCACTCTGTCCCCATCTTCATCAGCAAGCAAAAAGTTACAATTACGATGGTACCAGTAACTGTTTGACTGTATATCGGACTCGCTCTTCCCTGGAGAGCTGAGCGTTGGCCAGATCACATGGTAACTCCCTGCAGCACCATTCTTCTCAGACCACAATGATCCATTAGTGCATCCGCACTGTTCACTTGCCCCCAAAGGTCCCTCACAACGTGTAGTTTGTCATACATCAGTTCATCACCAAGTGGTGTAGAGCCAGCCAGTATATCTGCCTGCTCATTTCCCTACACGTCCGCATGACCTTAAGAAAATATTCAAAGTACGCCAACTACCCGGGGTTTATTAAGAGATGCTTGCCACTCTGCATGAAGTATGCATGTCTTCAACTTTCTCTGTGAGTCAGTTACAATCACGGCATGTGTGTACAGCTGATTCTCAAGCCAGCAGAAGGCAGCAGTGACTGCCTCCACCACAGTATATCTACATAAGGCAAGGAACCAACAGTCTGCATGCAAATAAGCCTTTTGGCTGAACACATATCATTCTAGAAAAAACATCTCCTTTTATGACACGCTTATTGGGGCCAGATTTTTCAGTTCCCCCTCCCCCCCCCCCCCCTCCCTCGAAATAGGGCTCCAGAGCACACACAGATAAATATATATAAAACAAACAAAAAATAACGGGTTGGAATCAATATTCCTTGTGTGGGTTCCTGGGCCCGATTGTGGGGAAAACAAGTTTAAACCCACTGCCCCAACAACCATGTCGTAGGAACTGACTAACTGGAAGCTTCCTTCGAAGTCAGAAATGAATCTTCCTGAGCGGCAAGGAACAACCAACTGTACACAGATAGCCAGTAAAACGCATGCACACACAAAAATCAGGCCCTGGCACAAAGCCAAAGTCCAAATGGACGAACAACTAGGACTTTCTGCCGGAGCTTACAGCCGGTGAACAGAGAAGGAGGAGGAGGAATCAATTTCTCCAGACATGAGATACAGGTACTCTGCTATTTTTCAACAACACAAAACAAACACCCTCCCACAGAGCATCAAAACTTACCTCTGCTGTGTCAAGAACACTTGAGCCACTGGAAACTACATCTTCCACAATCAGACACACATCTCCTGTACGGAAAATCCCCTCAATTAATTTCTTGGTCCCGTAACCCTTGGCTTCCTTTCTTCGTATCAGCATGGGAATGTTGTGACTTGCAGACATCAGCTGAGGAAGGCAACATTCAAGATGATACATCCTGTCAGTTTTATGCATGGAGGAGACGCAGTTATGTCTTGTTTCAGAACTTGAGGTTTGCATGAAAATTTGTTTTACAGATCTGGCTTTTCAAAATCCAGATGCACTTCGACTTCAACAGAAACACCCCGAATTACTTGCCTTTTACAATACGCTTGTGGACAACACCACAAGTTGCCATGAATGTCATAAGAGAGGGTTAAGGAGGGTTGGCAGGAGACTATCTACCTGATTAGAAAATGTTGCTGCAAAAGCAAGCCAGCCATGAGCTGTTCTATAAAGTGCTAGGCATTAATTGGTTTGGAGCGGCTGGCTGAGCAGTGAAAACATCAGGTTCTCATGCGGGAGACCTGGGTTCAACTCTCAATCCCCACCCCGGTAAGGTGATGGGAGTTTTTCTGTCGGAGGCAGAATGAAACATTCTAACCTGAGCAGTTCATGGTGACAGCACTAGCCACGCAGTCCTAAATCCTCAGGCTCACAACCCCCTGTCTGCACAGTCATAAAAGTGGTAAAACAGACAGTAGTCAGTAATAGGGACTGATTTGCTGTTTGTTGTTTTAAAATTTATAATTTGCTGCATAGGCCATTAGGTTCTTATCTACTGTTATCTTCTGCTTCTTCTTTGCGTTCACCAGCTGTAAACTCTGGTGGAAAGTTCTGGTTGTTCGTCCACTTCTGGACTGCAGTCCTATTCCAGAACCTGAGTGTTGCGTTTGCATCTGTTTGACAGATCTGACTAATTTGCATGCAGACTGTTGGTTCCTTGCCTCTCAAGCAAATGCGCTCTGACTTTGAAGGAAGCTCACAATTAGTAGACCCTTACAACATGCTGTTGGGTAGGCAGTGGGTCTTTTTTTGTTTTCTCTATAATAGGGCCCCGGAACCCACACAGGGAACTTCCCAGGACATTACCTGGTACCTATTTAACCCAGGGTCAACTGGGAGCCAGGATCAATTGTGGGAAGAACAAAACTCAACAAGGATTTCAACCCATGACCTTCTGGCTGGAAGTCACTATGGTGGCTCTTGAGTTTTTTCTTCCCTAACATATGGGTACAGTAGGTGAGTTTTTATAACAATATTGTTACATTACTGCTGGCACCATGTAAAAGTAAAGATCCCTTTCCACGCCTTTTAGGCGTATCGGGCATATGGGAAGAACGCCCATATTTTTACAGACCATCAGCGGGTAATGTGGTCAGCATTACACCGGCTGTCTTTACTTTCCCAGGTCAGCCCAAAATCCACGCAATATGATATTACCGTGGCAATTGGCAGTGCAGTGTACGGAACACCACACAGAGATATAAACTTGGATGCTGATATCTTGTCCCATAGCAAATTTGCAACATCAGTCTGAGGAGTGACAAATCAATTATTATGCTCATTTTCCAGAAAACACAGATAATTAAAATATTTCAGTTACATTAAAAGACACAACACTCCTTTTCATCTTCTGATTCTTAGCATTCACCGGTTGAAACCTCCAGCAGAAAGTTCTGTTTGTTCATCTACTTCTTTCACATAAATAGAGTGAGAACCCTTGAGGCCGCAGAAATATTATATACATATAAATATATATAATAAAGAAACAGAGAAATATTATATATATATAATAAAGAAACAGACAATATATTGATCAGCGCTCAAATAAAGAAGACAAGAGGACACACTAGACAACATAAAAATCAAAAGCTATAGTTACCGTACCGGGAATCGAATGTGTCACCTCAAAATGGTGTGTGCACCTTATCTAAACTTTGACCTTCTTCTAGACCTTGAGTTTTTGTGTGCATATCTGTTTTACAAATCTGGTTTAATTGTATTCACACTGTTAGTTCCTCAAACGTGAGGCAGATGCACTCTACTTCAATAGAGAGCAGTGGGTCTAATCTTGTTTTCCCCAAACTGGGGTCCCGGAACCCACACAGTGGTGCACTCTTTTGAAAACCATAATGAAGGGAAAAGTCAATGGCAAGAAAGCAACAGGTGGACAATGATTCAAGTGGGAGAACAATTTCAAGAGATGGATAAGTTACAGTCTGGGAGAGTGTACAACCAAAATGAGAGACAGTGTATGCTGAAGATCCATTCAGCCAACTTTCAGTGTAAAGACAGCCGCTGACTGACTGGATGATAGAATAAATGGTCAGTTAAACAATAATCTCCCCACATTACACTAGCTCACTTCTGATTGGTCGACCTTAAGTCACCCGACCTTCGCACACTGCTAGGTGGGTGTTCGGCAATGCCGAAGATAAGATGATTAAGACGAGTCTTAAAAATTTAAGAATGGAAGGTGACCTAGTTTCAGTGGGGAGACTATCGTGCAACTGACCGAATTAATATTGGTTTAAATCAACCCGCAAACTCAGGTACGCATGCCTCCTGGCGCAAAGGTTATGGGTTTATATCTACATCAAGTTGAATGTTTTCAAAATATGACCTTGGCTCCCAGTTTAAAATGGATACCAGGGAAAGTACCGCAAAGTGAAGGTTTGTCTGTTTACTTGTTTCACAACCTGAGTGTTGCATGCATATCCATTTCAGAGGGTGGTTAGACTGGGTTTCCTGGCTTTCTGATGCTTTTAACGACCCCAAACATCTAGAACTGGCCCTAACCCCAACCCACCTATGTCCCAAGAGAAAGTGCAGCCTAGGTCCCACGACTGCATGCAGCCTATCTACCAACCCCTGAAATATTAGACAGTCCCGTGACCTGTGGATTTCCCCTGCTTGGGGTAGGATATTAATAAAGCACCCAGAGTATTCATACCTTGAAAGACTACTTCAGCTGGGGAGGGGTGTAAGTAGGGGTTCTGGGCAATATTCGATGCTGAGAAGAAACCAGGTGGCTTTAAATCAGATTGCAGCCCGGCTCTCTAGCGAAGTTAGTTAAACCTGACTTTCGCGGCGGCCGGGTGACGAACTCCTTGTGGTCTGGGTTCACTCCCGGGGGTAGACAGAAAAGCCACATTTCTCCCAGATTAACGGTACCTACAATAGAATCAAGGCCGAAAGGTTGCGATATCCATAGTACCGAGCCAAAGGGTTTACAACTCATGGTTTCTGGATACGTTAAAAAAAAAAAGAAAATCAGATTGCAACTGGCCCTATAAGCATGGGACTCTTCACTGGCTACTGGGGCATGATATGGAGCATGTGTGGGGGAAAGTCCTGAGTGCTGTGACTTCAATTACTGATTAACTCATTTATTAACCTTTGTTCTATGTGGTTCCCCACTAACAAAATGTGCCTGGTGTGGGAGCAGAGGCCAGGCTTTGATTTTCAATGTTTTTATGGTGATGCAGTAGTTTATAGACAGGGGTCTGAGGGAGAACTGTAAAGGGAGACTGGTTCTTTTGCCTTAATTATAAGTAGTCTGACTACGCAGTTTAGTTAGTTCAGTGATTCCCAAACTGTGCGCTGTGGGGCCCCTGGCGAGCCGCGACCTCTTCCCAGGGGTGACTAAAAAAAAGGTTTGGGAAACACTGAGTTAGTTAATCAACAGATTATCTTCACTGCGCATCGGTTACACCAGTTCTCTGTTGGTTGACTATACTTCTTTGGCTACCTAGGGTTTCCTCATTTCCTCAATTTCCCATTTCAGGGCCTGTTTGTACTTTCTTAGAATGTGTCCAATATAGCTGTATCTCCTTTATCTGTTGATACTAGTGGCTGCCTAGATATTTATCTTCTTTATCTGTTGATACTAGTGGCTGCCTAGATATTTATCTTCTTTATCTGTTGATACTAGTGGCTGCCTAGATATTTATCTTCTTTATCTGTTGATACTAGTGGCTGCCTAGATATTTATCTTCTTTATCTGTTGATACTAGTGGCTGCCTAGATATTTATCTTCTTTATCTGTTGATACTAGTGGCTGCCTAGATATTTATCTTCTTTATCTGTTGATTCTAGTGGCTGCCTAGATATTTATCTTCTTTATCTGTTGATATTAGTGGCTGCCTAGATATTTATCTTCTTAATCTGTTGATACTAGTGGCTGCCTAGATATTTATCTTCTTTATCTGTTGATATTAGTGGCTGCCTAGATATTTATCTTCTTTATCTGTTGATACTAGTGGCTGCCTAGATATTTATCTTCTTTATCTGTTGATATTAGTGGTTGCCCAGATATTTATCTTCTTTATCTGTTGATACTAGTGGCTGCCTAGATATTTATCTTCTTTATCTGTTGATATTAGTGGCTGCCTAGATATTTATCTTCTTTATCTGTTGATATTAGTGGTTGCCCAGATATTTATCTTCTTTATCTGTTGATACTAGTGGCTGCCTAGATATTTATCTTCTTTATCTGTTGATATTAGTGGTTGCCCAGATATTTATCTTCTTTATCTGTTGATACTAGTGGCTGCCCAGAAATTTACCTTCTTGATATTACTTTAATTTCTCCCACTGTATTTTCATAATTGTTCTCAGGCAACTGGCATAGGTTGAAACTGAAATAAAATTAGAACTAAAAATGAGTAAACTGATTTTGAACCTAAATAATTTACAGCTGTTTTAGTTTTAAATCAAAGTCGGAGTACATATGCCGGTGAGGCAGTAAAAGCCAGTAAAACGGATGTACATGCAAAACTCAGGTCCGGGTAAAAGCCAAAAGTCCAAATGGACGAACTACCAGGACCTTCTGCCGGAATTCACAGCCGGTGAGTCAAGAAGAAGTTTTTAAGTCTTCCCGTGTGAGTTAATGGAGCCCCATTCAGTGTGGAGAAACAAGAATAGACACCCAGCCTCTGCCTCACCAACAAGTGTGTTGTAAAAATCTGGGACTGATTGGGGACAACCTTCACAGTCGGAGTTGATCTGCCTGAGAGGCAAATTATAAGTAGTCTGACTACTAAAAGTAAAACAGACGTGCACGCAACATGTCATTCAGGTCTGGAAGAGGGCTAAAATTGCTAAAGTCCAGAGGCATACGAACAACAACCATCACTTTCTGCCAGAGTTTAAAGCTGGTGAATGTGAAAAAAATTAAGAAGAGTTTGAAAGCCACTTCTCAACAGGTAGTGTACCAAAAGTTGAATTAAGAATCGACATCGTAGCATTCAGAACACCCTCATAAGTGCTCCATCCCCATCTTCAGCAGCAAACAGAGTTCCAATTACTATGGCACCAGTAAATGCCTGATTGTATATCCGTCTCACCCTTTTCTTGAGGTTTGAGCGTCGGCTAGACCACCTGTTAAGTCCTCACAGCGCCATTCTCCTCAGACCTTAATGATCTATTTGCGCTTCTGCACTGTTCACTCAGAAGGCCCTCACAACGTCTAGCTTGTCATACTTATCAATTCACCAAGTGGTGCAGAACCGGCCAGTCTATATGCCCGCTCATTTCCCAACACACCGGCATTGCTGGAAAACAATTCAATATGATGCTAACTACCCAGGATCTCTGAATTAATGCTTGCCACTCTGCACACCTTTCTCTACATGCTCTGTGAGTCAGTTACAATCATGGCATGTGTGTACAGCTGATTCTCAAGCTAGCGGAAGGCAGCAGTGACTGCCTCCACCACTATTCTCAAACCAGATGTCTTGATTTCTTCTTCTTCTTCGATCCTTCTGTCAGAAAACTTATATCAGGAGGCCGGTAGCCTTTATGAAAGCTATCGTGCAATCCATATCCTCTTGTGTACCATACAGTTTTGTCTTCATTGTGGTTGGAACAGGCCAGATTGCGTCTCTGTTGTCAGCATACAGTTGACAGTGTTGGAGCACATGCTCAGCATTTTCGGGTGCCACGCTGCAGGGACACGTCTCCGTATTTCCTACACCGAAAAATTTGAACATATGTTGACGAAATCTGTTGTGCCCTGTCCTTAGTCTGAATATAATAGACTGTCCCTCTCTAGAGAGGCGATGAAGTGAGTCTTGGGGAGAAAATCTGTTGTGGGTATCCAGCCACCTTTCTTGGATACTAGATTGTATTAGTGTTTTCATCTCTTGGTGGGTTAAGTCGCTATTTGGTTGTACCATGTCACTGCCGCTTCTGGCCAATCTGTCCGCTATTTCATTGCCTTCCAAGCCACAGTGACCTGGAATCCACTGCAGTACAGATTGTTCTACTGAAGAGCCTAAGTAAATCAGCTGTTGTGTCAAGTCTACAAACTGAGTGTCTTTTGGGTTAACAATTGCTTGTAGAACTGACATAGCATCAGTCAGAAAGACCACTCTGCTATATTTGCTGTGCTGTTGTCCATTCAGGAAAGAACATGCGGCTAGAAGTGCTTCTGCCTCTGCTCTGTAATTGGAGGAATATGAACCTGTTGGTACAGCCTGGTTGATTTTAAAACCATTTGGGCATTCTATGTATATTCCTCCTCCTCCGTCTCTTACTGCTCTCTTGGCTGAACCATCTGTATACACTCGAATCCAACTCTGGTGTGGGTAAAGTCTATTGATCTCTCGTTCTGTAGTTGATTTCATATCAGTGCTGCTCATTGATGATTTGGAGGAGACCCCTGTTACAGTGGTTCTGACTGTTGGTAGGCTATCCCTAAGCCAAGCGGGGCAGTCGTTGTAAGGTTTAAGTGGAACATTTGGTATTATGGGAGGGAGTTTAAGGACAGCGAGCTTGGCATTTGCGTTCTTAATAAAGCAAGTTCTCTTTAGTCTAGCCTTCTGGGGTTTCTGCAGTCGGCTGTACATGGGTTGTTCTTGAAAGTGGTGGTATTTGGAGAGCTGGGTGAGGATCTTTGTGTCTCTCCTATCTTCCAGATTATGGAGACCGGTAATTGTTTCCATATCTGATATGGGCGTGGAGCGCATTGCCCCTGTCATAATACGGAGAGCATGGTTTTGGATCTTTGAGACTTTCTGAAAATTTGATTTAGCTGCTGTGCCCCAAGCAGCTATTCCATATTCTAGTGTTGGCCTCACATAGCCTGTATAGGTCCTCTTAAGGACATTGAGGTTTGCCCCCCAGTCTGTTCCAGCTAACTTCCTCATCAGTTGTGTTCTCTTGAGTCCCTTGCTCTGTGTCTTTTCTATCTGTTTTTTCCATGTGAGTCTTGAGTCAAAGGTTACTCCTAAATATGACGGTGAGTCATCATGTATCAGTGCCTGGCTGCCATATCTAAGTGAAACTTTCTGGGGTTTGGTAGAGAGACAAAATGGTGTGTGTGGTTTTGGCCCCATTTACAGGCATGTACCAGCTATTGGACCACCTCTCTAGAGTTCGGAGGGATTCTTGAAGCCTTGTCTGTGCTTTTTCAGTGTCCTCCTCTGAACTCAGTAGCGCCAGATCATCGGCATACATAACGGCTTGAACTCCATTACAGAGGGTTGATTTTATGTCGTTAATGTAAACTAGGAAAAGAATTGGGGACAGAACTCCGCCTTGTGGAACTCCATGTGTCATTGAGACTGATCTGCTCCTTGAACCCTGTATCTTGACTCTTGCAGATCGATTTTCAAGATATTTTACGATCCACCCAAGCATGTGATAGGATATTCCACTTTCAAGTAGCTTTTGTTTCAGCCCATTTTTCCACACTTTGTCGAAGGCCTTTTCCATATCCACCCAGACTGCAATAGTGTGCTTTTTTTCCTGGAATGCATCTTTAATGTGTTGAGCAATAAATGTAATTTGGTCTTCTGTTGGTCTGCAACGTCGAAAACCTGCCTGTTCCTCCATTAGTTTGAAGTTTTTCTCTAGGAACCAGGTCAGTCGGTTGTTCAATAATCTTTCAAATAGTTTGCACAGATAGCTAGTGAGGCTGATGGGTCTGTAGCTGTCTGCGTTGTTCTTCGGCTTTCCTTGTTTCAGGATTACGAAGATTTCAGACTTCCTCCAGGCTGGAGGAACTATACTAAAAATCCAGCTGGCATTAAAGATGTTTAATAATTTCTTTTTGGCACTTAGACCCATGTGTAGTAACATATCATTCGTGATTTTATCGGGGCCAGGGGCTTGGTTGGATTTCAGCTGGTTGAGTCCTGTGTTAAGTTCACTCATTGAGAATTTATCTGTCATGATGCTCTCTGCTGGTTTACTCTTGCTGGCCTCCTCGAGTTCTTTTATTCTTTGTACTACCTCATCTTCTCTGGACTTTTCTATATTAATATCACTAACAGATTTAAACTGATTTAAAAGGATATTTGCAGCATCGTTTCCAGATCTGATCTCATTGCCCTCATTTATTACTATTGGATTGGCTTGTTGGGCTTCTCCATTTAGACACTTGACTAGTTTCCAGAGTTTGGACCCATCTTTTTCAAATCATATGCCAGGCTTTGCTACACTAAGACGACGTCCATTCGCTCTTACTATGAACCCCCATGCACTTCTTCTGCCCCTCAACACAGAGCCATCTGTATATACAATGCGATCACTGGGGCGGGAATTGTTATGAATCACTTGAACTTCTGATTATGCAGCGCAAGCTGGCTAGTACTCACGACCCAAAGTTCTTCTTCTTTCGTTCGCTTGAAATATATCTATATCTGCCATGTTGTCTCTAGTATCGGCTTCACGACCCAAAGTGATAAGAACCCTGTAAAAGTGTACCAAAAAATGATTTATAAGTCTAAAAATTTGCTTTTTGGGGATCGGACGCATAAGTAAAAACAAATTGTCATCGTCATGGTTTAAAATGTATGTACTAGTACTAGTACTACCTAAATTTATGGAAAATGCATGCAAATAACGCACCATTAACTGTGGGAATGATATCATAACCCGTAGATCAAAGTATACGGGTGATGTGATACCACTTTTCAGAGTGAAGTCGCCAAATTTCACAGCATCCACTTCAAAAAGCCGTAAAACTATTGATTCGGACGAAGCCGGCATGACTTCACTGGAGGCGGCCATCTTGGGTCAATGA